AAATACATGTATAAACCACCCCTTAAATTAAATATCCTAAATTGCACTAGCTAGTTATCCAACAACAATTGGACTTTACAGCAAGCTGACTGTTGACAACTGTCACGTGGTATAAATTTAACATAACAAGGGCTATGGATTATGACAGTGAACGCAAATAAAACATGGAAGTTAACTTCAAGGGTATTTAAAAACAATATTTCAAACAAACTCACACATTAAAACTCCATCGGTGATTAGCTAACAGTTAATTAAATTTTATTACAACTCGTTACGAACAGTCAAAAGTTGGCCTTATTTCTCGATAGTTATGGTTACAAATGTCATACATAATATATATCACTTAGAACGTTTATTACATAACGCTAGTTTGCTCGTCACTGGTCGCCAGGTACGTTTTATTTAATAATATGCGATGTAAATTATAAATTATCAGTGTTATGATTATTATTATTGTATTGGAATTATACTCGTTCGCAGTACAATTGGTTAGCGTAGGCCGTGCCATCGATGACACGCGATACAATATTTTGAGCACGCCACCGATCACAAAGTTCACTATGAAGTTTGATATTACGAACGAATGCGAGTGATTCTAGTTAAATCGTGGACTACTATTGCAAATGACGAATAGTTCGTTTCATCATCATCATCATCATTACAGCCCTTCACAAGTCCACACCTCCCCCAAGGAATGCATAGTTCGTTTACGCATAGCATAATTGTTAATTTCGTTAACACAACTGTATTTAAAATTCATTTGTGTTTAAGTTATTTCTCATCTAATCTGCAACAACAGAAGTCACACTAATGTTATTTTAATTTGAATTACGCGTACAACTGAAACATTTATTATTATACATTGCAAAATACATTTACATAATAAATGTCTCAACACTCAAAACTCTATATATTTTTTGTAGAATAAAGAGTTTTGAGTCTATAGTATTTAGTTCCCCGTAATCACGAAGTCAAAATTATTTTACGGCACGTCTATTACCTAGTTAAAATTTTCTTTAGGAAAATGGCACATTGATTCATAAAGGTTCGCCACCCCTGGCATAGGCCATGCCTACCGGAGCTCAATTTACATTGGGTCATTTTTTACAACGAGGAATGCTTAGATGTTGTATTTGCGTTCGCTGGATAATGAGCGTTGACATGTGAAGTAAACGTTTCTAAGGTATTTTTGTTTGAAGTTAATAATAATTAATTGAAGACAAAAAAATAAGTTGTAGCCTTTATACATCCCACTGGTGGGCATAGGTTTCCTATTTATGAGTGGTTTATGAAGCAATTAGTCCACCACACTGTTAAAAGGCGTGTTGGTGCACTTCACATATCCTAAATTCTTAGACATGCACTGTCGCTTTGCGATGCTTTCCTTCACTGCCCAGCAAGTGGTAAATAAGCACTAAAAATGCAATTAACAATTTCATTGGTGCCGGCGGGGACCGAACACGAGTTGCTCGAGTCTAAGACCTAGCGTGGCTCTCAAAATCTAAAATATGAAAATTGAAAATGTTCATTCACTATTAATTTGTATCTACCGTTTAAAATACTCAGTCACAGTAATGTCAACTGTTAGTTTGCAATAAATAAAACGTCAACAGCAAAAAAATTTTTCCTAACACCAAACCCGTGGAACCCGGTTATTAAAACACGCTGCATAAAATATATTACACAAGTCACGGAATAATGACAAAGCATTGGTATTTTTAAATAACATTTAAACTATTTATTTACTTGAGGAAAAAAATTAAAGTCAGGAATTATTTGTTAAAATTCAAAGACTACTTACTAAACTTCAAAGACTGTGACTAAATAAGATATTTGTTTTAATAAGAAAACAACGTAAAAATGTCCAACTCTTTGTCATCATGCCATACAATATTGTAATGTATATTTATAATGGTATATTTTTTTGCTTTCCCAAACACTCACTCTAAGCACGACCACGACTATAGTTAAATTACGAATATAGTTATATATAAATTATCTATATTACAATTTAAAAGCTTTCGAACCATATTGCGTAGATAACCGACTTTGGCAAAGTTAAAGAGCACTTAGTTTAATATAAAAACACACACTGTTTTAGACACAAGAGGGGTTTGACTACATTGCTTATAAATATTTATGTGTCATTATTTATTTTTGAACAGAACATTTGAGATATTCATATTTTCTTTTAAAAACGTTTCGCCCACACTAAGATTTTTTCCTGTATCGTGGAAACAATTTAAATATATAAATTGCAAGGACACACATCCAGACCCGGAATATTTACTTGTAGGCCATACAAATACTGGCGGGTTTCCAACCTGCGGCCGTAACTCAATGCTAAACACCGCGCCACGGAGTCGTCATCGACATATTATGTATTTGATTTTAAATTTAAGCGTGTATGTTATAATTTTATGCATCTTAGCAATTTTACAGACAACAAAAAATTTTCTACAACAGTTTACTGCTGGACATGACATTATAGAAGAGAGAATTAACCACCTGGTCCGTGCACAAATTTGGATGCATCTCAAACAACGATAAGCAACAAGCTCAGAGTAATTAATACATGCATAATAAATGTAATTACTCTGAGGCAACAAAGTGACAGTAGAAACATTTATTTACTTATTATTTTTTTTTATTCTTTACTGCATCCATAAAACAAAAGAATAGGAAGGGCGGACTGTTTTTCTACTATATTTTTTCGAGATAGTTCATTCAACAGGCAGTACTAATTTATCTTTATATTGTATAGTAAGATCTTTTATCCCGACACTCTTAGTTTCAAAGTTTTATATCATTGATATTGCACTTCAATGGAGAATAATTTCTTGTATTTCCAAATTTGTGACCGATGTTTTTTTTATTTTAAATATATTGAATATACTTTAATGAAAGTCTACATTTTATTAAATCTTATAGGTAACTACTGCAGTGCAGATAATGGCTTTAAGCCAATTGTTTGAAACTTACACTTAATATTTATGATTGGTGTTTTATATATTGCTCAAAGCAGCACTTATTTACAGTTTAACTATATAGACAATAATTACCTTAGGACCGTACTTAAATCCATAATAATTGTTTAATTTATTGTTAAATGTTTATGGATAGTACAACTTTATCGCTAACGACATTTATTCCATTGACATCACTTTTACGAGCGCACCAACTGTGCGTGAAAATGCAAAAAAATGTCGATTAATTTTGAACTCAATACCAACGCAATACAGTCCGAAAAACTTTAGCATTAAAGTTCACTAACATCACTTCCACGCCATCTTGAGCATCTTGCGGGACGCGAAATATTTGGTACTGTACGAGGCTACAATAAGCGCCACAAGAACAATAGTTATTAAATGGTAATCGAAGTCGTCTTTTAGGAGATCGAAGGTTTTTGAAGGCGCCACTCGCGTGTAGAACAAGTCTGTAAAAGAAAAATTAATTATTGTCATAAATAAAAAAAATTATATTGTTACTGCCCCCAAGTTACCCTGACAAAAGCCGATTGAAACTAGGGCACATCAGTAGTCCAATTCGACGGGTAACAAAGGGGAGGGTCCAACTGACCTATGGATAATTAAACTATAACGGCTAACAAAGAAGCAAGCCACTTACCGATTGGCGGAGGTAGGGTTAAACCACAGGGCATTTGTCAGGTGAAAGGTGATGTGCATGTAAGTGGTGTGCCGTAATATGTTCAATGTGTAACCTGACATCCCCGCTGATCCTGGATCCATCCAAGGGGACGTCCACCAATGGAAAACTTCCACTTCAATTTTCACTATATTAGTTTATCAACTTTATTGACCGTTTAAATTAACTTCAAATTCAACCAAATCAACGTTAATCGACATTAAAACAAGTGACACGCTACACAACTTAAGTACGGTTGGTCAAAGTTCAAAGTCCCAGGTTCACTTAGCACAACTACTAACTCGTCGATGCAATAACGGCATAAAGGTTCCTTTAATCACTACAAATTCCAAGTAGTACTCTTGACACGTAACACGTTCGAAACAGACAACTAAATTCGAGGCGGTCTAGACTATGCTCTAATATTCAATAGTAAATTCAAAATGACGCGCACAATTAACACAAGCCTTAGGCATTCAAGTCAACACCTGCCGCGCGTAACCGTATGCCGGTCACAAACAATCGATCCGGGCTTCGCACAAATAAACACAAGAAATAAGCCTCGTTATCACGGATACGTGGATATAAGATAACACCAAGAGGTCGCCCTTTCGACGCAAAATTAAATAAAACTCGCGAGCCCTAAATCGACCCGGGAGATTACGTAACGCCCGACATTCAACTGACGCGGTTTCACCGCTCAAGGCTTCCGTCGACTGCCTAGCTCGCTGTCGCCGGCGCAAGACGCAAACCCCCCCTCGTCACCCGCTCGAGATTATCGTGATGATAGATAATCATGCGTGAACAGATATTATTTATTATTTTACCTTTAACGTCATAATATAGCTGTTCTAAAGGTTCCCGATGACAAAATTCATATTTAGTTAGCCGTTTTACACGGAGAGACAATAGCTCACCATGTGTATTAACCCCTCAGCCGCCAGCTAAAATGATTAACATCGCCCGCTCGCTTCGTGTAACGCGGCGTTGCTAAAAATTACCTAATCTTGATTTGTCGTACATTTATTTTCAATAATATTCATTATAAATTTCAATATAATACTTGTTTCTGTTTATTTATTATGTTATACTTATTACTTGCTTTAGTGCTTTTACTTCATTATAAATAGATTTTAATTGTATCTTCATAGTTAAAAATGTACGTACCCAGCATAGAACGGCAGCTTCAATATCAGGGGTTTGAGAGGTTAATTAACTTACGTGCCCGACGCTGTAGGACAACATTGTAAGGACCTGCATGGTTGAGAATTAAAATAAATTTCGAGGGTGTGTAAGATACATCAGCATGCGCGAAAGGAACTTCCCACTGTGCCACCACACACGATGTGGCGAGCATGGGGGCTGGTGGACTCGATGCCGGCGGGGTGCGTGTATACTCGCGCACTGTGCGCACACACTCACCGAGGCCGGTGGCGAGCACGGGGCTGGTGGACTCGATGCCGTCGGGGTGCGTGTATACTCGCGCACTGTGCGCACACACATTCACCGAGGCCGGTGGCGAGCACGGGGCTGGTGGACTCGATGCCGGCGGGGTGCGTGTATATACTCGCGCACTGTGCGCGCACACTTACCGAGGTCAGTGGCGAGCACGAGGCTGGTGGACTCGATGCAGGCGGGGTGCGTGTATACTCGCGCACTGTGCGCACACATTCACCGAGGCCGGTGGCGAGTACGGGGCTGGTGGACTTGATGCCGGCGGAAAGCGTGTATACTCGCGCACTATGCGCGCACACTCACCGACGCCGGTGGCGAGCACGGGGCTGGTGGACTCGATGACAGCGGGGTGCGTGTATAAACTCGCACACTATGCGCGCACACTTACCGAGGTCGGTGGCGAGCACGAGGCTGGTGGACTCGATGCCGGCGGGGTGCGTGTATATACTCGCGCACTGTGCGCACACATTCACCGAGGCCGGTGGCGAGCACGGGGCTGGTGGACTCGATGATGGCGGGGTGCGTGTATACTCGCGCACTGTGCGCGCACACTCACCGAGGCCGGTGGCGAGCACGGCGCTGGTGGACTCGATGCCGGCGGGGTGCGTGTATACTTGCGCACTGTGCGCACACATTCACCGAGGCCGGTGGCGAGCACGGGGCTGGTGGACTCGATGACGGCGGGGTGCGTGTATAAACTCGCGCACTATGCGCGCACACTTACCGAGGCCGGTGGCGAGCACGGGGCTGGTGGACTCGATGCCGGCGGGGTGCGTGTATACTCGCGCACTGTGCGCACACATTCACCGAGGCCGGTGGCGAGCACGGGGCTGGTGGACTCGATGACGGCGGGGTGCGTGTATAAACTCGCACACTATGCGCGCACACTCATCGAGGCCGGTGGCGAGCACGGGGCTGGTGGACTCGACGCCGGCGGGGTGCGTGTACTCGCGCACTGTGCGCTCACACTCACCGAGGCCGGTTGCGAGCACGAGGCTGGTGGACTCGACGCCGTCAGGGTGCGTGTATATACTCGCGCACTGTGCGCACATATTCACCGAGGCCGGTGGCGAGCACGGGGCTGGTGGACTCGATGAATGCGGGGTGCGTGCATACTCGCGCACTATGCGCGCACACTCACCGACGCCGGTGGCGAGCACGAGGCTGGTGGACTCGATGCCGGCGGGGTGCGTGTATATACTCGCGCACTATGCGCGCACACTTACCGAGGCCGGTGGCGAGCACGAGGCTGGTGGACTCGATGACGGCGGGGTGCGTGTATAAACTCGCCGCCACGGCCGGGGCGGCACGGGGGGGGCGGGTGGGTACTCGCGTACCGTGCGAACACACTCATCGAGGCCGGTGGCGAGCACGGGGCTGGTGGACTCGACGCCGTCGGCGTGCGTGTATACTCGCGCACTGTGCGCACACACTCACCGAGGCCGGTAGCGAGCACGAGGCTGGTGGACTCGAAGCCGGCGGGGTGCGTGTACAGTGGTAGAACAGTGGTAGAGCCACGCGGCAGCTTTGCTGTCGCACGTATGGGCCGGCTCAAACCGGGGTGGTACCACGACCTCACAGAATACCGGCGTGAAGTGGAAGCTCTGCTTCCGCGTTTCGTCTGGTGAGTGCAGGTGGCCGGAGGCCCAAATCCCCCCCCATCAACATGGTAGCGGAATTCAATGATAGACTACCCCAGGAGGGTACCAGCACCCCTGGAGAATCCCTCACTGAGCATCCACGACCATGTTTTTCCACTTCTGAGCGTGGGTGCTCAGGCTGCCCCCGCGTATTCTGGGGGGGGGGGCAAAATTCCGCTCAAGACTAAAACTGCTCGGGGCAAACGGAGCAACAAGACCAAGGCGACCCCTGCCACGCTGTCCGTGAATTTCTGCAATATCAGGGGACTTCACTTCAACCTAAACGCCGTCCACTACCATCTCGAGACGGCGAGGCCGGCTCTGCTCTTTCTGACCGAGACGCAGGTGTCCTCTCCGGCTGATGTCTCGTATCTCTCCTACCCGGGGTACAAACTGGAACACTCCTTTGTGCCTCGGGCTGGAGTTTGCGTTTACGTCAGAGAGGACATCTGTTCTCGACGCCTCGGCAGACTTGAAGGTTCGGACCTGTCCATCCTTTGGCTACGCGTAGATAGCGACGACCATCCGCGCATCTACGGGTGCCTCTATAGGTCCCACAGCGGTAATGCCGAAACAGACCGACTCTTCGACCACGTCCAAATGGCTGCAGATTCGTTGCTACAGCAGATCCCCTCCGCAGAGATCGTGATCCTCGGCGACTTTAACGCCCATCACGCCGAATGGCTCGGTTCACGTTTAACCGATCATGCGGGGAGATCTGTTCATGATTTTGCCTTGTCATATGGTCTGACACAACTGGTTACTTCGCCTACGCGGATTCCAGATGTGGAGGATCATGCACTTTCCCTGTTGGACCTTCTGCTGACCTCTCACCCGGACGGATATCAGATTTCCGTCGACGCCCCTTTAGGCTCCTCGGACCATTGTCTTGTCCGGAGTGTGGTGCCACTCACGCTGAAATCGCGGTTGCATTCTGCAGGCTGCCGCCGTGTTTGGCACTATAGGTCAGCCGATTGGGATGGGATGCGGTCTTTCTTTGCATCCTACCCTTGGGGGCGGGTTTGCTTCTCGCCGGACGATCCCAACGTTGTTGCGGATTCTGTCGCTGATGTGGTACTTCAGGGTATGGAACTTTTTATTCCTTCCTCTGTGGTGCCCATTGGAGGCAAATCTCAGCCATGGTTTGGTCGCTCCTGTAAAATAGCATCATGCTATAAGCAGGAGTGCTACCAGGCCTGGGCTGACGCATCAGCGTCCAGGGATGTAAACACCAGCGCTCTAAAAAAGAAGTATAATTCCGCCTCTAGGTCCTTCAAAAGAGTCATTGCCAAGGCAAAGTCAGAGCACATAGGCAGAATTGGCGAGAAACTAGTTCGTCTTCCTTCTGGAACCCGTACATTCTGGTCTCTCGCCAAGGCTGTCCAGGGGAATTTCTGTCAGCCATCTCTTCCATCTCTGCACAGGGAGGACGACTCACTGGCCCACACCGCAAAGGAGAAAGCCGATCTTCTAGGCTCTTTCTTTGCGTCTAACTCGACTCTCGATGACGGGGGAGTACGCCGCCGACCATCCCGCGGTGTGAGTGCTCCATGCCGGAAGTGCAGTTCACTCAGCGCTCGGTTCGCAAAGCACTCCTCTCCCTGGACATCCACAAGTCGAGTGGGCCTGACGGAATCCCCCCAATTGTGCTGAGGACGTGTGCTCCAGAGTTGGCACCGGTTTTAACGCGTTTTTTCCGGTACTCCTACTCCCTAGGCGTAGTCCCAAAATCATGGAAGACGGCTTTCGTCCACCCGATCCCTAAAAAAGGCGACCGCTCAGACCCGTCCAACTACCGGCCTATCGCCATCACCTCCTTGTTCTCCAAAACAATGGAGTCCATTGTAAACTGCCAGCTCATGAGGTACCTTGAGGATCACCAGCTGATTAGTGACCGCCAATACGGTTTTCGCCGTGGTAGGTCAGCTGGTGATCTTCTGGTCTACCTAACTCACAGATGGGCGGAGGCAGTAGAGTCCAAGGGGGAGGCATTGGCCGTTAGTTTGGACATTGCGAAGGCCTTCGATCGGGTTTGGCACAAAGCGCTTCTTTCGAAGCTCCCTTCCTATGGGCTTCCCGAGAAATTGTGCGATTGGATCACCAGTTTTCTTGCAGATCGGAGCATCAAGGTCGTTGTAGACGGTGCTAGCTCCGATTGCAAGCCTATTAATGCTGGTGTTCCACAGGGCTGCGTGCTATCGCCAACGCTGTTTCTTCTGCATATCAATGATATGTTGCAGACCCGTAACATTCATTGCTATGCAGATGACAGCACTGGTGATGCTCTTTACACCGGCCGAGCCAATATTTCTCGGGAAAACGTCTCCGAGTGCCGGGACAAACTTGTGTCTGAAGTCGAGTCTCTGCTGGACAGAGTCTCGGATTGGGGGCGACTAAATCTAGTCCAGTTTAACCCCCAGAAGACACAAGTTTGCGCGTTAACCGCTAAAAAGAACCCCTTTGTCGTATCCCCTCAGTTTCAAGGCACTCCCCTTGTTGCCTCAGCCAGTATCGGAATCCTCGGCGTCGACATATCGAGTGACGTGCAGTTTCGTGGTCACTTGGAAGGGAAGGCCAAATTGGCCTCTAAAAAGCTTGGCGTGCTCAGCAGAGCGGGACAGTATTTCATGCCGGCACACCGCCTGCAACTTTACAAGGCGCAGGTTCGGCCGCACATGGAATACTGTTCCCATCTCTGGGCTGGGGCTCCCCAGTACCAGCTCCTTCCACTTGACCGCATCCAGCGCAGAGCGGCTCGAATCGTCGACGACCGAGTGCTTTCCGATCGGCTCGATTCTCTGGCGCTGCGAAGAGATGTTGCATCCCTTTGCGTATTTTCTTTCGCATATACCATGGAGAGTGCTCTGAGGAATTGTTCGGATTAATCCCAGCCGCCAAATTTCGTGAACGCACTACGCGGCAAACGTCCCGATACCATCCACACCATCTGGATGCTTGGCGGTCCACCACTGTACGTTTCAAAAGGAGTTTTCTTCCGCGTACAACCTCTCTGTGGAATAATTTACCACCAGCGATTTTTCCGGACCGATACGACCTGGGGACCTTCAAGAAAAGAGCTTACTCCTTTCTAAAGGGCCGGCAACGCGTCTGCAATTCCCCTGGTGTTGCGGTTGATCATGGGCGGCGGTAGTCACTTAACATCAGGTGAGCCACATGCTCGTTTGCCCCCCTCTTCTATAAAAAAAAAAAAAATATACTCGCGCACTGTGCGCACATATTCACCGAGGCCGGTGGCGAGCACGGGGCTGGTGGACTCGATGAATGCGGGGTGCGTGTATACTCGCGCACTATGCGCGCACACTCACCGACGCCGGTGGCGAGCACGAGGCTGGTGGACTCGATGCCGGCGGGGTGCGTGTATACTCTCGCGCACTATGCGCGCACACTCACCGACGCCGGTGGCGAGCACGAGGCTGGTGGACTCGATGCCGGCGGGGTGCGTGTATACTCGCGCACTGTGCGCACACATTCACCGAGGCCGGTGGCGAGCACGGGGCTGGTGGACTCGATGATGGCGGGGTGCGTGTATACTCGCGCACTATGCGCGCACACTCACCGACGCCGGTGGCGAGCACGGGGCTGGTGGACTCGATGCCGGCGGGGTGCGTGCATACTCGCGCACTATGCGCGCACTCACCGAGGCCGGTGGCGAGCACGAGGCTGGTGGACTCGATGCTGGCGGGGTGCGTGTATATACTCGCGCACTGTGCGCACACATTCACCGAGGCCGGTGGCGAGCACGGGACTGGTGGACTCGATGATGGCGGGGTGCGTGTATACTCGCGCACTATGCGCGCACACGCTGCGATGCGATTCACCGAGGCCGGTGGCGAGCACGGGGCTGGTAGACTCGATGACAGCGGGGTGCGTGTATAAACTCGCGCACTATGCGCGCACACTTACCGAGGCCGGTGGCGAGCACGGGGCTGGTGGACTCGATGCCGGCGGGGTGCGTATATACTCGCGCACTGTGCGTACACATTCACCGAGGCCGGTGGCGAGCACGGGGCTGGTGGACTCGATGACGGCGGGGTGCGTGTATACTCGCGCACTATGCGCGCACACTTACCGACGCCGGCGGCGAGCACGAGGCTGGTGGACTCGATGCCGGCGGGTGCGTGTATACTCGCGCACTGTGCGCACACATTCACCGAGGCCGGTGGCGAGCACGGGGCTGGTGGACTCGATGACGGCGGGGTGCGTGTATACTCGCGCACTGTGCGCGCACATTCACCGACGCCGGTGGCGAGCACGGGTGGGCCGGCGGCGAGACGGGGCTGGTGGACTCGATGACGGCGAGGTGCGTGTATACTCGCGCACTATGCGCGCACACTCACCGACGCCGGTGGCGAGCACGAGGCTGGTGGACTCGATGCCGGCGGGGTGTGTGTATACTCGCGCACTGTGCGCACACATTCACCGAGGCCGGTGGCGAGTACGGGGCTGGTGGACTCGATGCCGGCGGGGTACGTGTATACTCGCGCACTGTGCGCACACACTCACCGAGGCCGGTGGCGAGCACGGGACTGGTGAACTCGATGCCAGCGGGGTACGTGTACATTCGCGAACTATGCGCGCACACTCACCGAGGCCGGTGGCGAGCACGAGGCTGGTGGACTCGATGCCGGCGGGGTGCGTGTAGAGAGCGCTCACGCGGTGCACGGTGCGGTTGTAGTTGAGCACCGCGTCGGCGGGCAGCGGCAGCTCGGGCACGTACGGCAGCAGGCCCTCCTCACGCTGTTCGGCAGTGGGCATCGCGGGCCGCCGCGGGTCCAGAAATGCCCACGGGATCTCCACTATCGCGCCGGTTGTCAGTGCCACTGCAACAAAATTTCTGTTATAGTTACCCAGGTGGAGCAAAGCGACCAAAACCTCAGAAAAGCGATAAATACAGAAAAGTATTACTTAAGTGTGATGTATGATAACAATTTGTTTAGTTAGGTTAACGTAAGCAAAACAGTGAAAATACGGAGTACGTACCTACGCAATAATGAATAAAACCCTAAATAATATAAACTTCGTGTATCGATATAACTAACCCTTGTGCGTATACACGCTCACGCAGTGAGCGAATATAGTGCCGCTATACACAAGCGAAACTAGCCCTTGTGTGATACTCACAGAGCACATGGCGGTCGGTGAGCGAGCGCTCGGTGATTGTGGGTGCGGCGGCGGTGGTGCCAGCGGGCAGGTTGTACGCCTGCCGCTGCACATTACACAAGTTAAACTAACCCTTGCATATATAATCACAGAGCACATGGTGCTCGGTGAGCGAGCGCTCGGTGACGGTAGGCGCGGCAGAGGTGGCGCCGGGCGGCAGGATGTACGCCTGCCCGCTGTACATTACACAAGCGAAACTAGCCCTTGTGCGTATACTCACAGAGCACATGGCGGTCGGTGAGCGAGCGCTCGGTGACGGTGGGTGCGGCAGCGGTGGCGGCGGCGGGCAGGATGTACGCCTGCCGCTGCACGGCCGGCGCGCGCTCCGACGCAAACGAACTGAACGCCGCGCCCGCGGGCAGCCACCGCTCCTTGCCCTCGTACAGCTCCATCGTCGCTGCAAGAGCAATTTACATATATCACTTTCTATTATGTTTATTGTTGCACTGCACTGCAACTATTGTACACTTTGCCAGGCAGTGGCAGCATAAGAGATTCTACTACCTCAAGTCACCCTGTGGATGTCGTAAAAGACAGCAAATGGTGGGCAGCAGTATCTTTTTGATAACTTAATAATAAAAACCAATTGGAAACCCACCTGCCACTCGTGGATAGCAGTTATGGTAAAAATCCCAATTATAATCTTTGGACGAGGTTTATATTCAGGAATTAAATTTAATTTAAAGGTTGGGATGATGAATTCGAAATTTTTAAATTAGATTAAGCTTCAACAAAAAAGCAGTTTAGATACCAAATTATTTAAAAATTTATGATCAAATCATGTCAAATTAATAATGACCGTGTATTGGCGGTGTTGCTATATAGTGGGGGATGTAAGAATATTCACTACTATATACCGTTGCGTGGATGACGTAAGCCACTTCCTAATAACAACCACAAAATAAATAATAGTTACAAGAACCGAAGGATCACTCTCTCATAGCAAACTTGTGAACTTAAACCTAGTTACAAAGTCACTAACGTTCATTATACTTTGCACGCCTCGGAAGAGACCTTCGTGAAATTAGCCTACTGATTAAAGCATCGAAAAAAATTTATGCGGCGTCCGTATTAAATCAAATGCACCTCACGTCCGCGTGCGAGTGTCTGTATCAATTAGCCCGTTACGCGTCTTTGTTAAGGCCGGTCCTACTGTAGGGTTAGGTGTTGTCAGAAAACAAAGTTGGTAGTAGAATACACCGAGGTGTTATGCAATGTATGCAATATACTAGTAATTTGCTGATAATAGGATGATAATTTGAGGACATAAGTGTTCAATGTGAGGAAGGTTAATATGTAACATCTAGAAAAATTAAAATTAGAACAATGTGAACGTCTTTGAAACTCAGATAATTTTGTACGTGTGAGTGCGTACCTAACTCGAGGCGGCGATGCTAGTCGCTGCGGTAGAGGTAGGCGAGGTAGTTGTCGGCGTGCACGTCCTGTGTGTCTGTGTGTACTTGTGAGTGCGTATGCACGTACCTATCTCAAGGCGGCGATGCTTGTCGCTGCGGTAGAGGTAGGCGAGGCAGTTGTCGGCGTGCACGGCCAGCGGCAGCGCACGCGCGCGCCGGTGCGACGTCGCTGCCGCGACAGCGCCCGACGCCACGTCCACCGCCACCGCGCGCACCACCTCTGCACAAGGTAATCGTTCATTGCCTTCTTACTTTACTGGTCGAAAACGTACTCACGTACGTACTCCGTACGATAAAATAGGAGTTTAATGCTGATGTTTTTCGTATAGTGAGTGTGCAGAACCAGAGACCCATGTTACTAGAAATGAGGCATTCCATCTCAGTCTTAAAGGGTGACAACGCATTTGCATTTTCATTCTTAATGGAGGATATCTCTGGACTACAGTATCCATTTACCATCAGGTGGACTCGTTTATCATCCTTTTTCTATAAAACACAGTATATTATTTGTACTTATAAATATAATTGAAGTATCTGTTTATAATGTCAAAATAACAGCTTTTTAATAAATGCATATTATGAAAGTATATACGGAACTTAAAAAGAAAACAGTTTTTTTATAATTTTTATCTGTCTTTTTATCTGTTCGTTCCGGCATATATCCGAAATAGCTGGATTTATTTTGACGGAACTATCACTGGCATTTATCTGATGATACAAGGAAAGGCTACTTTATTTTAGAAAAATTGCGAAAAAAACACAAAATTCAATCGTAATAATTTCTGGGGTTGATAAACAATTGCACTATCCACTAGCACATCCGTGGAGAGTATAGTAGCCAAACAAAATATGCCGTCGTCCGTTCGGCATAGTATACTATCCAAAACGACACGTTGTAAATATTGCCATCTAGTTTTAAAATGCCGAAATAAATGAACGTTGTGCTTGACAAAAATGAATATCTATGAAATACTTCACTAGAAATAACAGAAGAGGGCATTGTTTAGTGTTTGGATGCATAGAATTAAAAATAACAACTTCAGTCGACTTGTCACGAAAGTGTTTCGGAGCACCAGTGATTATGTCGTAAGTATTTCGTATTAATTTTTACTTAATTGTTAGATTATTGTACATCAAAATGAACTTTAGAATTTGTACTTTGTGATAATACTTAGGCGATAAAGTTTCACATACTAAATCGGCTCTAATTTGAACTTCAAAATATTGTTGTTACCAAAACAATGACGTCTTTGTAATTCACAGTCGCTAGTCGTCTAGTTTATGATTGATTTACGTATTATTCAGTGAAGTAATAGTGATTAAATTTCAAATAAACATACTCATACACTTTTTTAGTTAAACATATTTTAAAATGTAAAAGGATTCACAATTAATATCAATGTATTCTTCAGGTTTTTTCGTATGGCTAGTGCGGTATCCAGGGACGTTACAACAAGTTATAAATAAGGGTCTCTAGGAACGAAGAAGTGTGTTTTCAATATTTAATACTGCTTGATGTTATCACGTGTTTTATTTTTGTTGTAATATATTAATTGTATTGATTCATTTTCACACTTGTTTCGTGTTTTGAAAATCGTATTTGGACACTTTTACTGTATTTGAATATTTTTTTTTAATTTTGGGTTTTTTACTTTTTTGTGATATTTTTTTTGTTCTAATTATTTCAAAAGTCAACAATTTATTACTCGGAAATAAATTAACTTTGTTTAATACGATTATTTTCTTCGGGGACGTCGATTCAGCAAATAGTTTTTTAATTTTATCGTTTTAAGCCAAAATCATAAATTATTAAAATATTTTATCACTTATTCGTATTTCATTCAACCTTATCGTGTATAGAAAGCCTTAGACGGACGGCCATCTTCTTCAATTTGAACGACGCGCGACGACTCGGCAATTGTCAAGAGGCCGCCGCAAATTGCAAGGAGAATGTGTTTTCATTTGATTTGTTTAGCTACTTAGAAATATTCATATATCAAGATATTAGCACCATATTAAAGGGAAATGAATCTAATTTTTCTTTTTAGTGTTGTGTTGGTAAAAATTATTATATTTTATGCTTACGAAACAAATTTATGGAAAGATTTTTTATTTTCCACTCGGGAATTGACATTAAACCTTATTTTAAGTGTAATAGATTATCACTGTCGATTTTTCAAATAGATAAATTCAATCTATAAACGTTTAGTTATTTTTCAATATTTTTATCTTTGCTGTAGCTATTATATTTTAGCTGTTAGAAAGGTTTTTGTTACCGAGCTGCGGGGACAGATTCGCGCGGCTTGAGGCGGCGAGTAGTCGGACGTTTGACGCATATTTACCAGCGCGGGGCGGACGTTAGAGTGGCTATATTAATATTTCTTACCAAGTTGGCATTGGCAACTATAAATTTTTATATTTATGTATTTTAAAATTTTCGCCGTAGTGAGGAAAACCAAACAGTATTATCAACAAAAAGGTATAAATATTCAGCCCTTGTTTGGTGTGTTTTTTTATAGGAGAGGAGGAAAACGAGAATACGGCTCACCTGATGGAAAATGATTACCGTCGCCCATGAAAAACTGCAACACAGTTCAGCTCGTCACATTCAAGAAGTCCACCAATAGATTTAAGAACAGCGCGGCGGACTAGTTGCTTCATAACTTTCTTATAAATGCGAGGACAATTGTGGCCAACAATTAAACGTATACAACGTGTCCCAAAATTCGACGTTCAGCGGGGAGTGGACAAATTAAAGACTAAAGAAAAAATAGGGTGATACATTTTTTACCGTGACGAGTGAAAGTTGATTGAAAGTTAAAATTGTCTAAAATTGCAAGAAAACACTCAATTGTATTTTTTTGTTTAAACTACTACTAGACTAGAACTTAAGATTGAATTTTTGTGTAGTCGATATAGGTCGGAACTGTGTTTTTATGTTTTGTGTTGTATGTATATTACTTTGAAAGAAGCTAGCGTGCGAATCCACCTTTGTGCACGGGATCGGGTCCCTCGGTGAGGAAGAGCACGAGGTTGGGGTTGGTGTACTTGTAGAGCACGCTGCGGTCGGCCAGCGCGCGGCCCGGCGAGTGCGTGCGCTCGAGGCGACTGCGCGCCGCCGCCGCCACGATGCGGTGGCCCGCGGCCCCTGCCCCGCCCAGCGCCACCGACCAAATTTTCTGCGCGTACGCGGACTGTACGAACAATAAAAACACGTCACTTTTCCGTTATGGGGGATATTGATTTGACAGACGGCGACCAGTCCTTCGCGGACGCGACTGTACGAACTATAACAACACGTCAGTTCTCCGTCATCGGGTACTAAACAGACAGACCGGAAGATCTGTAGTCTTAGATATATTGTCGTACATAAACCCAAATATTTAAACGCTGCTCAATTTTAAGATGACGTTATGTCTCGAGCTTTCTCTATCACTTTAAGTCAAAGTAACTGTGTCACTTCGAGACTTAACATTTTAAAATTGGATAGCGTTTCAGTATTTATTCAATAATTTTTAAAAATAACATAAAAATATAAAATCTCACACTGATCATAAAAAGAGTTAGGCAGAGACTCATCATCATCATTACAGCCCTTTACAAGTCCACTGCTGAACATAGGCCTCCCCCAAGGTATGCCACAAAGCACGGTCCTGAGCCACCTGCATCCATCAACTTCCTGCATGTCTTACCAGGTCGTCACTCCATCTAGTGGGGGTCGCCCTACACTTCGCCTACCGGTACGAGGCTGCCACTCGAGAACCCTTCGTCCCCAATGGTTGTCGGTTCTTCTTCTTCGCGCTATTTGGCCGGCCCATTGCCACTTCAGCTTACTAATCCATTGGGCTATGTCGGTCAATCTGGTTCTACTGCAGATATCCTCATTTCTAAGTCAGAGAAACTCCGAGCATAGCCCTCTCCATAGCTCGCTGAGCAACTTTGAGCGTCCTCATACGTCCAGCAGTGAAGGACCACGTCTCGGAACCGTAGGCAGAAACTACGGAGTTCTATTAGACACAAACCCAAAACTCAACATCAGTAGCTATCAGAGCTACCCGAGTTTCATTGACATTTGGAGAAAAGGTTATCCCCACATTTAGAGAAAAGGTTATCCCCCCTCTTACCACACACATAAAAACATACGGTCGAATTGAGTACCTCCTTTTTGAAATCAATTAAAAAGCATAAAGTTGATACAATCTGACTAACCTTGCCGTCGTACTTGAGCGCGTAACCCTGTACTTTAGCTGTTTCTCTATCTGCTACGTATATATACATGTCCTTCACTAAGCGCTCTGATGAAACGGGGAACACCTGCAAAATAAATAAACAATCTTCAGATTATTCTTCAAGATTAGCGATGTTGACGATATTCACCTGTCATTAGCCGTTACAGAAATATATAAACTAGTTTCTATAACGGTTAATGACAGTTAAATATATATGCAGTATAATGCTGAGCCGGACACCCATTTGCTGATACAATATATTAATTATGTAAAAATATACAAATATAACGCAACAATATATAATCTACACTTCTACATCTACATCTACACTAATATTATAAAGAGGAATAATTTGTTTGTTTGAATTGAATAGGCTCCAAAACGACTGGACCGATTTGAAAAATTCTTTCACAATTGGAATCCTACATTATCCCTGATCATAGGCTATAGTATATTTTCAAAAAAGTTAGGGATCCATATGAAAAATTCGTTAATGTAACCCATGGCGTGAAAAAAATACCAAAAGAATCCTTATATCACCTACGCTGCTGAAACTATTGACAATAGAGCAAAGTGATGTACTACAGTTTTATAGAAGTCGCGGGGAACAGCTAGTATATTATATATTATTATATACTATTATAATATGTCATTTCGTACTAGATGTAGAAAGAACATTGACAGGGATGTCGACAAGGAACAGCAGCAAACAATTTCGACAGGCAACAGCATCAACTACCGCCCCGTCGCGTAAACAATCTGAGAAATTAAAAAAATCAAAGCCCGTGTAGTCCGCCAATAGGCATTGGAGCAGCTCGGCGAACAATTATTTGCCTTGAAGCCCTCTCAGAGTTGAGAAGTGGCATATGCCCAGCAGTGAGACGTATAATAGGATATAATTTTACTTTACCTGTATATTCTCGTCTTCATAGAGCACTGCGAGACCGTGTAGCTTCTCTTCATCGGCACGGTGTAACATTGCGCACTGGAGCAACCGTGCGTCCAGTTGGAGAAAGCGTTCACCAACAAGCTCACCATTTATGGGGTTCAAACTTATGATTAGGCCGTTGCCTGTTTCCTGAAATAAATACACTTTCGATTACGAAAATGCCATTAGCTTAGGCCACACACACCGCGATATAATTCCTGCGATAAAACTTCGCCTTCAGCCTAGAGCGAAGGTTGTAAAGTTTATCGATAGTTTATCGCATTAAAACACACGCTAAACACAAAATGGACGCCGCCCTATATTATATCACATCGAATAATAATTTTTTGCTACGTTTTTGGCAACAGGGGATAGCTTTAGACGCTTGCATTATTTATTCAAAATGTCTCATCAAATTATTTATGTTCTCATTAATTCCAAATATTGTCATTAACAGAAATACGTCGTTAATCCTAATTCAATTCTACACGTCCGCCACGCACGATGTCTGTGGGCCGCCTAAACTGTGGGCGCACAAGCGAAGTTCATCGCGATAAAACGCTTTGATGTGTGAGATTTAACCGACAGCGAAGCGATGTGCTTGCGACTTCGCACGGAGTGAAGTAGTATTCACGAATATATGTGGCTGCGACATAAAAGCATGTTTGAGATAAAATCGGAATTCAATGTCAAAGTTATATTCTAATGTTATGTGTGCCGTGCAGTCATTGTTTTAGAGTATCTGTCTCCTCATTTCGTTTCGTGGGTATCGTAAGAAGCGACTATGGGTTATAATTGTCCCAAAGTTATTAAGGCTGTCGATTAAACGGCGGTATAGGCATTTCTTTCCTCAAAGCGTAAAATACACAGACTGGCAACTGGGAGCAGGCTGCGTAGGCGTAAGCATGCAAGATGTCTGGAACGGTGACAATCAATACATCTGCCAAGTGTGACAATTGAGGTAAAATATCCTTTTTTTATAGAATGGTGGTACAAGCAATCAGACAGTCCACGTGACAGTAAGTGGATGCTATGTCCCACAGACATCTACTCTGTTATCACCCCTGAGGACTAAAATGGAATGCTTGATTACAAGTAAGATAGGTCTCAGTGTATATAGTCTGTGTGAGTGAGTGGTCCTTCCCGGGTTAAGCCGACCCATTCGTGCTGCAGCCATTATATAGTGAGGTAAAGCAATATCTATAATACTTTATATTTTTTAACAGTGGTAGAGCTACGCGGCAGCTTTGCTGTTGCACGTATGGCCCGGCTCAAACCGGGTGGTACCACGACCTCACAGAATACCGGCATGAAGTGGAAGCTCTGCTTCCGCGTTTCGTCTGGTGAGTGCAGGTGGCCGGAGGCCCAACTCCTTCCCCCATCGACATGGTAGCGGAATTAAATGATGATGGACTACCCCAGGAGGGTACCAGCACGCTTGGAGAATCCCTCGCTGAGCATCCACGACCATGTTTCTCCACTCCTGAGTGTGGATGCTCTGGCTGCCCCTCGTATTCGGGGGGGGGGGCAAAATTCCGCTCAAGACTACAACTGCTCGGGGCAAACGGAGCAACAAGACCAAGGCGACCCCTGCCAAGCTATCCGTGAATTTTTGCAATATCAGGGGACTTCACTCTAGCCTAAACGCCGTCCACTACCATCTCGAGACGGCGAGGCCGGCACTGCTCTTTCTGACCGAGACGCAGGTGTCCTCTCCGGCTGATGTCTCGTATATCTCCTGCCCGGGGTACAAACTGGAACACACTGGAACATCACGCCGAATGGCTTGATTCACGTTTAAACGATCATGCGGGGAGATCTGTTCGTGATTTTGCCTTGGCATATGGTCTGACACAACTGGTTACTTCGCCTACGCGGATTCCAGATGTGGAGGATCATGCACCTTCCCTGTTGGACCTTCTACTGACCCTTTAGGCACTTCGGACCATTGTCTTGTCCGGAGTGTGGTGCCACTCACGCTGATATCGCAGTTGCATTCTGCAGGCTGCTGCCGTGTTTGGCACTATAGGTCAGCCGATTTGGATGGGATGCGGTCTTTCTTTGCATCCTACCCTTGGGGGCGGGTTTGCTTCTCGCCGGACGATCGAAACGTTGTTGCGGATTCTGTCGCTGATGTGGTACTTCAGGGTATGGAACTTTTTATTCCTTCCTCTGTGGTGCCCATTGGAGGCAAATGTCAGCCATGGTTTGGTCGCTCATGTAAAATAGCATCATGCTATAAGCAAGAGTGCTACCAAGCCTGGGCTGACGCATCAACGTCCCGGGATGTAAACACCAGCGCTCTAAAAAAGAAGTACAATTTCGCCTCTAGGTCCTTCAAAAGAGTCATTGCCAAGGCAAAAGTCAGAGCACATAGGCAGAATTGGCGAGAAACTAGTTCGCCTTCCTTCTGGAAGCCGTGCATTCTGTTCTCTCGCCAAGGCTATCCAGGGGAATTTCTATCAGCCATCTCTTCCATCTCTGCACAGGGAAGACGACTCACTGGCCCATATCGCAAAGGAGAAAGCCGATGCTAAGCTCTTTCTTTGCGTCCAACTCGACTCTCGATGACGGGGGGAGTACGCCGCCGACCATCCCGCGGTATGAGTGCTCCATGTCGGAAGTGCAGTTCACACAGCGCACGGTTCGCAAAGTACTCCTCTCCCTGGACATCCACAAGTCAAGTGGGCCTGACGGAATCACCCCAATTGTGCTGAGGATGTGTGCTCCAGAGTTAGCACCGGTTTTAACGCGTCTTTTCCGGTACTCCTACTCACTAGGCGTAGTCCTGAATCATGGAAGACGGCTTTCGTCCACCCGATCCCTAAAAAAGGCGACCGCTCAGACCCGTCCACCTCTGGGCTGGGGCACCCCAGTACCAGCTCCTTCCACTTGACCGCATCCAGCGCAGAGCGGCTCGAATCGTCGACGACCGAGTGCTTTCCAATCGGCTCGATTCACTGGCGCTGCGAAGAGATGTTGCATCTCTTTGCATTTTCTTTCGCATATACCATGGGGAGTGCTCTGAGGAATTGTTCGGATTAATCCCAGCCGCCAAATTTCGTGAACGCACTACGCGGCAAACGTCACTTGGCGGTCCACCACTGTATATTTGAAAAGGAGTTTTCTTCCGAGTACAACCTCTCTGTGGAATAGTTTACCACCGGCGATTTTTCCGGACCGATAAGACCTGGGGACCTTCAAGAAAAGAGCTTACTCCTTTCTAAAGGGCCGGCAACGCACCTGCAATTCACCTGGTGTTGCGGTTGATCATGGGCGGCGGTAGTCACTTAACATCAGGTGAGCCGCATGCTCGTTTGCCACCTCTTCTATAAAAAAATACATATATACTACAGGAGAAGCATATGTTTAACAGTGGCAGACGATATGTAGCGTGTAAGACATGAGCACCACCTAGCGTCAAAGCCAACAGAAAGTAATCAGTGACAGGCAACTAATAATAATAACCCCCTAACCCTCGGCCGTTTGGTCTCCCCTGCCGAGAGCTTCCATCTGATTAGATTTTTATTTGTTTATTTATGTTAGTATATTAAATATTATAGTAATGTATTAAATATATATTTATGTATATTTATCATTTCCTTTTATATATTTATTCAGTCCAACCAGATACATACTCTATAAATACCCCAAAATAATAATAATCTTTATGGATAATGATACAGAGAATATGTGAAGTCTCTAATGACTGAGCTATAATATTTATATCGTTTTACCTCGTGTTTTCCGACGATAGTGAGGTATGCGTCGTATGGCGGATGCCACGCGGTCCTCCTCGTGAACACGCCCACTGACTCCGCGTCCAAGCTGGGCTCGTACCGCCGCCACAGTATTTCTCCAGATAAGTTGTCCATGCCTATAATCTGAAAATAAAATGTTGTTAACACTGTAATGATTTTCAGGATGATATATTTTGATACGTTTAGATGTTTTATTACTTGCAATTTCAATAAGTATATGTATTTTATTATAATATGTAACGTACATATTATATCTATGTATGTAAATTTTTATACACTATATGTAATTTTTTTATTATATGTACCTTATTACGTATGTATGCATGTAAATATATCGATATATATATATATATATATATATATATATATATATATATATATATACAACATGTAACGTAATTAACACACACCCTCAGACACCCCAATTAGTATATTATGTTATAATTATAATACATACACTGAATTTTTAGTTAAACATTTTTGTGCACTGATTATCTATCAAATTAGTTATACTAATTCCGGAAGAATGTTGTGGTCACAGTACAAATCCCCGTACGCAAAAACTTTAACGTGCTTGAAATAAAGTTCATTTTTCTTTATTTTTATTGAATGACAGAATTAGTAATAATACAAATAAAACTGCACTCTTAAAAGTCTTATTGCCTTAAGTTACGGTCCATTTCAGTTTGTTTTGACTGTACAGATTTAGTGTGACTGTAATTTACGTAGTTTTAATTATTTCTGGGATAAAAAATTACCTATATTAAAAATGTAAGGAATCGATTCAGTAAACGATTCTGAACAAACTACTTTCTCAAAGTGCGTTAATTATGTTACATGTTGTATATATATATCGATATATTTACATGCATACATACGTAATAAGGTACATATAATAAAAATTTACATACATAGATATAATATGTACGTTACATATATATATATTTTATATATTTTTTTTTTTTTTTTTTTTTTTTTTATTTGCACCTGCCACAAAATCTAATCACTCCACCGTTTGACTGGCAGAGAATGGCGTTAGGCATTAAGTCCGCCTTTTGTCACCATAGTAATTAAGGTGTTGACAATCAAGATTAAATAAATAAATAAAAAAATTGCGGAGGTTTACAAATTTAAAAGTGGTCTCCAACTCACCTTCCCAACGTCAGTCACTAACACCAGTATTTTATGAAGATTAAAATAATCGCGGACTAAATTATTGCTGTTAGAATTCTCCACCATCCGGTCTCTGTGCTGGAAACTGTGCAGTAGAGTTTGTAACTGCTGAAACTGGGTCTGAAGGCGTCTGGAGAATGCTGCCCAGATAGAACCTTGAGATAAAAAATTAACAGCATTGTTATTTCTACATGTTCCAACCATAACGGAATATTTTATTCGTTCTGATTGGAAGAACTTTTAATAACTATGAGATGGCACTTATTTCTATATGTGTAGATTAATTGCTAAATTAACATATTTCTTGAAATGGACGAGAACTCAAGTAATTTGCAAACAAATTTTATAACAAATATTGAACAAAGGAGAAACCCTAGTGGTTTTCAAATAGTATAAGAAAGAAACACTACTAAAAAAGAAGACCCATTTTGTATTTTTATTATAATAGGATCTGCAAATTACTCGAAACGTTAGGAAATTAAGTTAACTTAAACGCGATAAAATTGGTTAAATTTCATTTTATTTAACAAAATTTCTAAGATATTTACTGTTATAATTTAGCTTTTCAGAGAGAATAAAATTCACTTCACAGAGAAAAATGAGATTACTTAATTGACTTTATGGACAAATGTTAAATGTACCATATGCCAGGGATCTATTACTACCCACGGTTCGTAAAGGCGGCTACTCACATGCCTGCCGCAGGGAAAATCTAGGCTGTACAGTGACCGAGACAATATGAGAATTGTCTCTACACACGTGCCTGCCGTTCATTATGAAAGTGTGTCCCGCTGAACACACGTGGAGAACGGCTCTAGTTTTATCGAAATATCAAAGGATCAGTATAGCCTTGGCTCTTTTTTTATAGAATAAGGGTGACAAACGTGTACACAGTCCACCTGATGGTAAGTGAATGCTCTGTCTTATAGATACCTACATTTATCCATAATACAACTAATTAATAAATAATTACAACCATAATTTAATAACCGCAGCATGGCTCTACCACATTAAAAACGTTACTACGTTCAAAGAACGTTCTTTCTGCTTTCTTACTACCGTAAAAAAAGAGAATAATACTGGTAAGCTACTGTTTGCACTTCTGTCACCTGTGTCCAAATTTTATGCTCTTTATTGATATCCATTGTGACATGTAATCATACGTGTGCTCCGCGCGAAAGTCGCCAACGTACTTATTGAAATTGCCCCATTTGCGCAATACACGAGGTAGCGGCAAGTCTAAAGTCGCGGCATGTAAGTCTAGCGTTGAACGAAACGTGGAAGGAACGCGCACGAATTGACTTGCACGAATGCGACTGGAGAGTCAATCGGCGCGTGAGAACGATACGCACGAGTCAATTAGCTCGATTTATGCGCAATAAGCCGATCAGCGCCACTTATGCGCAATAACGGTAACCACTAGATTTTCGTGCCGCTACTCACACCTGTGTGAAATAATGACCTGCAATCGCGAGACATTCTGAACCGTATACGCAGTCGGAGCTAGTGCGTTGTAGGCGATTGAATGTTAGTTTTTAACGCTGTTTACGTAAATAGTTTTTTGTAAATACTTGTTGAAAGTTTTTGTTTAGTATTTAGTATAATTAATTGTAGGATAAAATAGTTAAAAACTTTTATTATAATTTAAAAATTTATATATACATATATATAGATGGATTCTAAATGACCGACAAAAGGTTTTAGATATATCATTCTTTAAGTTACCGAAGGATTTTAGTAGGAAGTTATGAAAATAGAATTTATTTCATATTTTATTTGTTACATAGGTTAGTACTAGGCAAAAAAGAATTAAACAATAATTTAACTACAGAAATAATACCTAAGTACTTTTAAAAAACTTTGAAACTTACTTCACCATCCAAGTATCTACTAACATACCTATACATGACTTTGGTAATTAAAATATTTTAAGTTATAATAACACAAAGTATGTACTGAAATTAAAACTTTGTTTACTGACAAGATTTTTTTAACTAAGTAGAATACGATCACATTTCTGTTAGGAATCGTATTTCAGGTTTATTTGTTGTTTACACTATCTACCTATTTCTTCCGAGCCAAACATCGCGATTCACGACGAATGCCTTGCAAGTTGCATGCGTTGAGAATCGCTGAACTCATATAAGTGCGAAAATATGGTCAGTCGATCATAGTTAGAATAAGTACTTCACCTAAGTTACTTAATTAACATTTCGCTATATTTCTTTATTGACAGCCATTAGTAACCACGGAAAGTCCGCCGTGACGCAGGAAGAGGAAAAGATGCAAAAGTAATACGGACAATTGCGCACAGCGATAAAGTTTTATTTAGCTTTCGTGCGCGATTTATCTAATTAATAATTATGCTGGCTATTAAACGTCGGTAAGCAGTCACCATCAAAGGACAGCAATTTCTGTACGTAGTACTATTATTTATTCTGTGGTAGCGGCAGCTATGATCTAGAAAGGTCTTGCGCCCCTGCCGCCCTGCACATCAAAATTAAGGAGATAATTAAGAGTCACCCCCACTACTACAACCTAGATTGACCCTGCGGCAGGTATGTTGTGAATAGCCGCCTTTATTATATTTGATAATAACAATTAGGTAATTTAAGTTTTAAAAATATCCACGGGATCACAAAACTATTAACCTTTTGTCAAATTTTGGGAAAATAATCTTAAAATGGAATGGACTTTTAATAAAGGAAATTTCTGTATTACTCAATATCTTTTGATAACTTCGTGTACACTGTACATCTAGTTGAATTTTATTTTATTACTTTTACTGTACGTTTCATGAAAATCTCTTAAAGTATGTTTATAACTTTCCTTAACTAATGACAAGGTGGCCAGCCTTATAAGAGCCAGCTTTTACTTTTAGATCTAGAACCAGTAACTCACTCTCAAATTTCCATTAACTCTGGGTTTTAGTTCAGAATATCATGAAAGATTTTATAGGTTGAATTGTACTTATAAACAGTACGCTTAACGGTTTGAAATCTTTAAATAAAATATTTTCGACTTCTACATGTTATTTATCAAAATAACCAAAGTGATAGTAGCAGAATACAGTAATTTGTTAGAAATCGAGTCGAAAATTCGAGTTTCCACGCTCGATAGTTTTAAGTGCTCTCGAGGTGCAAACCGGGCAATTTAAATATTCGTCCTATACTGTAGAGTTCGCGATGCCTATCTAAAGTCACTTAAATAAAATGATGCTTGAAACTTGGATGATAATATTTTTATTTTTATTTTATAGAAGAGGGGGCAAACGAGCATGCGGCTCACCTGATGTTAAGTGACTACCGCCGCCCATGAACAACTGCAACACCAGGGAAATTGCAGATGCGTTGCCGGCTCTTTAGAAAGGAGTAAGCTCTTTTTTTGAAGGTCCCTAGGTCGTATCGGTCCGGAAAAAGAGAGATCGTACGCGGAAAAAAACTCCTTCTGAAACGTAGTGGTGGACCGCCAAGCATCCAGATGGTGTGGATGGTATCGGGACGTTTGCCGCGTAGTGCGTTCACGAAATTTGGCGGCTGGGATTAATCCGAACAATTCCTCAGAGCACTCCCCGTGGTATATGCGAAAGAAAATGCAAAGAGATGCAACATCTCTTCGTAGCGCCAGTTAATCGAGCCGATCGGAAAGCACTCGGTCGTCGACGATTCGAGCCGCTCTGCGCTGGATGCGGTCAAGTGGAAGGAGCTGGTACTGGGGAGCCACAGCCCAGAGATGGGAACAGTATTCCATGTGCGGCCGAACCTACGCCTTGTAAAGTTGCAGGCGGTGTGCCGAAAATACTGTCCCGCTCTGCTGAGCATGCCAAGCTTTTTTGAGGCCAATTTGGCCTTCTCTTCCAAGTGACCACCGAACTGCACATCACTCGATATGTCGACGCCGATGATTCCGATACTGGGTAAGGCAAAATTATTATAATGGAAAAATAGGAAATATAATTATGACACATAATACTATATACAATTTAAGAAGCCAAAGCCAACATTTAAAATTAGAAGGCACAATAAAAGGTATTTATGTGAAATAAAATAAACTGTGTAGTAGCGGTGTAAGAATATCAAGTACCACTACTATTGGTAAACTGAAGCAGGAGATGGGAAATAACACCTTTCTGATTGATTTTTAGAACCTGCTAAGCGTGGAAACTATCGCAAATTCTTACGTGATCAGCAGTGGACTTTAATAAGTTGTAATGAATAGATATGGTATAAGCCATAACCATCAAATGTTATAATTTGGGACTTTTTACTAAAGATATTTCATTTGCAAACATATATTTTTGTTATACAAGAAACTTTAGTGCATACATTTCTGTATATATGTGCAGGAATTTTAGTCTCTTTATAAATTGTAAAATTTCATTCAATCGTGAAATAATTAAAATAAAAATTCAATAAAATTTAAAACCATGTCTCTGCTGGGGAAATATGGGAAGATGAACAGTCTGGACATTTAAAAAAAAGCGACATAATATAGTAAAAAAGCATTTGCAAAAACGGTCTACTAGGTGCTCGTCCACTAGACACTTTTCTTGTTCACTACACACACTCTACAAAATACTTACTGTACATCTTGGCAGCTAAAAACAAACAAAATAATAAGACATCAGTTTTTTTAACGGTAAAATATAAGTAACAAATAACATAAATTTCAACCTTTTTGAGCACTACATTAGGATCATTATCATAAGAGTCGGCCGTCATAAACGTTGTTAATATAAAGATATACTACGCTATGTCATGTTCGCTACCGTAATATGCGCAAGTTTAGATACCTGGAATAATTTAAAATGAAGCACAATACTACTCTGTCGATATTTACTTGCACTTTGTTACATACAATCAATTTTATAAATTATAAAACAAATAAGTTTAAGTAACACAGATATACTATGAAAATGTTTATGATAGACTATAGTAACCAAATCTAAGAAATACATTTTGACAGCTGTCGGATTTATTGCACCAAGCATGCCAACCAAAAATGGAAACGTACAATATTCGATTCTTAAAAAACTCGATATTGAAGTTAGTAATCATTTAGAGTTTGGTTGGGATAATACCAGAATAAATTAAAAACGGATAATTTAAAACAAAAGCTTTATCAGTTTCTTTGTATTTATTGTATCTGCTTATTT